TTTCTTTCTAAATTATAATGGCCATGATGACCCATTCCACCAGTGCCATCTCATGACAACAGAAGCAACCAGTAAGAGTGGAAAATGACAGAGTATTTATTGAGACCTGCACAAAGAAGGTATTCAGTAAATATTTGTTAATAAAGGAATGATTTGGAAGGCTGGCAAAAATCCCACTGGGCCATCACCTCTTGGAAGACAAAACAATGAGAAACTGTTTTCTTTTTTTGTTTGTTTTTTTTAGTGGACTTACAGGTTTTTTCTGTGCCCTTCAGAGGCTCACTATATTCATCTTCTACCACAGAATACACATTAACAACATACTCAGTTTCAGGCATCAGATCTTTCAGCACTGTGCTAGTTTCCAGTCGACTCACATAAAACTAGGGGAAAAAATAAAAAANGAACTTCATACATAAGTAACCAACACAGTACTTTATTTCATCTTTCTTCAGAAAAAATACACTTAAAATGAGAGTGCCATACATTAATAACTGGAAATAGGGGATTTATAGGTTTTTGAAGACAAGCCCATGAGTCAAAACAAGTTACTATCTCTTTTTTACTCAACACCTATATAGCTTTCATTATTTTTTGCTTAAAGACTGAGTTTAAAGTTTTAGAGAATTATCATGTTAATCCTGACAATTACAAAATACATTATTTTCTGCTTCCTATGATCTAAAATAAAGGGGTATAACAGAAGAGATAAGGACTTAAGGAACTGAGCAGTAGTGAAGTCAGTTTTTGCCATGGAAAGAGTAATGCTTTTATAAGTGGCTTCCATTCTTTTCTCTGGAGCCCACCCAAGCAGCAAGAAGGTGGTAAAAGTATTCTCACATCTCCCCCAAAAGCTCTACTCAAAGTCAAAGCCATTAGAGCTTCTCTAGTAAAGGCCAGGGGTCGGAGATCAGAAAAAAAAAAAAGTGGGGGGATCTCACTGCCAGCAGAGAGATCTGGCCGTCAGCAGAAGTGAAATAAGTCACCTCTGCACAGCTCCTCTTCCTAATCTTAGTCCCACTCTCCACATGGTATCTTTTCTTGTATCTTCTCCTCAAAAGCTTTGTTCCTCAATAAAATGTCACCATATAACAACTGAAGAAAGATTTAAAGTATTATCCCCCTGAAAGGTACATCTGCATTTTAGAGATTCTCTTGAAATCAGAAAGTCTCAAGACCCTAAGAAGAGAACAATACTATTAAAGGTATGTTTCTTTCTAAATTATAATGGCCATGATGACCCATTCCACCAGTGCCATCTCATGACAACA